CAGAACTTTGAATTGTGAAATATTTTGATGTTCATGGATTGTTTTATTTTGGATGTATTTGTTGGATAATTGGATATTTGAACTTGCATGCTTATATATTTGGTTTGGTTTTAACTTTCATTTTGAGCTTAATGTTTATTTTTGCATCATTTACATATTAGTTGCATTATGACCAATTTTTGTCATTTCACATTATTTATGAATATTGAATTACGGAACTAATGGCTAAACTTTCTCTTGATTATGATCTTAACAGCTTACGCTATATTTAGTTATCAATTGACTAATTGTTTTTCAAAGACTTGTTTAAAATCTTTTAAATGTCTTTTTGATTTAACAAAAAGGGGGGAAATATTAAAGTGTTTGTGTTTTTAAAGGGGAGAAGTGTTAGAGTAAGGGGGAGTAATTTCAAACTTGATTTCAAAATATTAAAATTAATAAAATGTTTTGTTATATCAAAAAGGGGGAGATTGTTGAAAACGTTTTGATATTTCGATATAACAAATTAATTTAAATGAATTTTAAGATTTTTCCAAAAGATTTTCTAAGTATATTTGATATAATTATTCGAATATCAAAATATTACTCCAAATCTTTCAAATGCATTTTTAATCCTTACTCAAGTGTAAAATTAAGTTTTAATCTTAAAATAATTTCAAAACAATTTTACAAAGTATTTCGAACCATTTCAAAGCCAAAAATTCCAGATTGTCCAGAGGGAACCGATTCCCCCTGAATGGTTTGGCTCCGAGAAAAACAGAATGCTCATAGGGAACCGATTCCCCCCAAAGGGGTACCGATTCCCCCTGATCAACGGTTGAAATATTTGAATTTTACACTTAGGGATCTGATTCCCTATGAGGGGGTATCGATTCCCCCCACGCTCTAAGATGTTTTATTAATTGATTTCACACTAAAACGGCTCCATTGACTCCACAAATCATCCCCAACGTTCAGAATCAATTGAAGGAATATTTAAACAAGCTTAGAAGCCATTGATCAACAACAAGAAACAACAATTATCAAGAATTGAGAGAGAATCAAAGAGAAAGCATCAAACTCATTGTTTGAGCACTTCAAGCCTATTTTTCATTCAATATTCATTGTGCTTTCAAGAACACCGTTTTTGCTCTATTGTATTTATCCTTGAGTGTTCTTTCTCTGTTCTAGAATTGTGCAAACAATCTACCTTGTGAGGTTTTTCTTGTAAGTTTGCAAATTTGTATATTTCTCTTTGAAAAAGAGTGTGCTCAAGAATTTGGGGTATAATTCTTGAGGGAGTTGTAAGGTTACTCTTTGACCTCAAAAGAAAGAACAAATTAGTGAATTTGTTGGAAAATCCTTAGTGTGGATAGCTAAGGTAGTGGACGTAGACTTTGGTTGAGAAAGTCGAACCACTCTAAATCGTTGTGCAAATATTTTCAATTTTCTGCAAAAGCTTCCACCAAAATTTTTATTGCCAATTCAGCCCCCTCTTGGCCAATTCTATCGATCGATTAACTCAACAATTCCTCCATTTTTTATTTGTAAATAAAAAGATGAAAGACAGAGCACTGATTGGGTTTACAATTTTACATGGCGGAAAAGTGAAGAACAAAACCAAATGAGAGTGCATGTAAGCAAAAGAGACTGAGAGGTGAAGGCACTGTTTGGGATTTCATTATATTTGATCATCTATTGGAAAATCTTTAACCACAAGTGTAACACCCCCAACTAGTATCCGAAGCGAATCCGAGTCCGAGGTGTCACATTGACTTTTCAAACGTTTTTCCTTACAAATTAGCTCAAATTTAACTTCACATTTCAAGAAAATGAATATATTACATTAATTAAAATCAATTGGTTTTGCAAAACATATCAGAGCATATATATAATTCAAAACATTAATTACATGTCAACTACTTTTAATAAACACATACACATGTTTCAAAACTTTTTCTGATCTGATCTTCGGAAATGAGAGGCTGACATGTCTTTATCCTTAATCTTTTTGAAACCTACGTGTGAAACATTCACACGTTAAGTTTATTACTTAGTGAGGCAAAATAAAATGTATCACGAAACTCTAACTAATTAACAATGCATGAAAATTTCATATCAATGATATCACACAAAATAATATCACATCTACATAGAGTCAATTGTATACATTTACTTATCTTGTCAGTATCATCATTAACCTCATTTTCTTATCTTTATTATCATTCATATTTCTTAGTCATATATTCTTGTACTTAACATTCTTAACTATCATATGATTCATTCACACAATACACCCAACTTCATATGATTCACATAATACCTTTCATATTATAACAACATATACATCATATAATACATATATCATTTCATAAGGAAACACATAACATCATACCAAGTTTATTTATATTATCTCTTTATTAGCTCATGTACACATGTGAGATCTATAGATATGTGAGTACATATAGGTTGTGCACATATACTGTCACCACAGCTCGTATAAGGTCCCACTAGTGGCATATGAATTTGTCCCGAAGAACCGCGTAGAAATGTCCCGAAGGACCACATAGATGTCCCGAAGGACCACATATCACATATATGTCCCGAAGGACCACTCCTTAAGGACCACATACATATTCTAATGGACCAAATAGGTGTATCGAAGTACCGCATATATGTTCCAAATGATTACATATATGTCCCGAAGGACCACGTAGAACCCTCGACTCTTGGCATGCCAACTATACCTCTTGCTCTCATGTCACATAACATAGGCATTATCTTTTATATTTATCACATATTCACATAGTCACGTAGTTCACTTACATATAAATGATTTCCATATAATTCACATATCACAAGGCTTATATCTCTTGATCATTTAATCACAAAACTTCTTATCACATAGCTCATAATCATATGGCTTATCTCATAATCATGTTTTCATATAGTTCATATCCTTTCTCACACAATCATATAATTCAATTATATAATTTAACATACATAGTGTATCATGTAACTCATGTAATAACATGTGACACATACACTCATATTCTTATGATCTAAAATGGAAAATAAACTTATCACAAGTCTTATTTCCATCAAACATCATATATTAACTAATATGCACTCACATGGCCTCACTAGTCAATGTTGATATCTTATCTCTTTCTCGATGACTATTACTTGGTCGACTTATCTGGACTTTGCTCTCGATCGTTATCTACACGAATACATAATCCAATAAATATTGGAATTCGAATTACTTGCAAAGACATTTACTATTGCAAGCTAATCAAAGAACTAATCTCTAAATTCCAGCTCAAGTAGTATCGGTACTACAAGTACAGTACCGATACCTCTATGCTTGTAGTATCGATACCCTTCCACGGTATCGATACCCAATTTCAATTCTTCCATCCTTATTTCAAACTGGTATCGATACTTGCTAGATGATATCGATACCCCCAGTATCGATATTAATCCTTTGGTATCGATACTCTTAAAACAATTTATAGATTTGTGCCTTATGGTATCGATACTCATTCAACCAGTATTGATACTCATGCTTCAATTAGCACTCATTTTCTCTTTGAAGTATCGGTACTGGATGAACAATATCGATACCCCTTGCCCAGAATACACTTCTTTAACCCGAAAATCTTACCAAACTTACTTAATTCTTCTACCATAACCTCCTTTTAACCCTTTAAGCTTAACTACACTTATTCAAATCATCTTATATCCATATAACCTATCATCATCTTTAATAACTCATCTTAATTCTTGAAACCAAGTATTTTACTAAATTTCCAACATGTTCTTAATTCACTTCTATTACTTCTAACTTCTTAATTAGATCATTGAAAAGTCAAATATGACTTAAAAATTCGTTTATAACTTCTTCTTCATCAGTTCACTTAAAAACTCTTCATATTTAATCCTTCATAACTCATTCATCTTTGAGTTTCAACACATTTTAATCTCTAATTAAGCTTTCTTAACACACCAAGAATCAAAACTAAGCCTAAAACTCAAGAAATAATCATTTTACTAAAACTCACCTTTAAAATGAAACTCGCGGCAACGAGAGAGAAGAAGAGAACCAAGTCTCCAAACTTTTCTTTCCTTTTATCCCATTTCCACGTGTTTATATCCTATATAAAGGAAAATAAAAATATTCCTTATGAAATGACCATTATACCCTCTCAGCTTTCCAACTTTGTTAATCAATCCAACATCAAAATTCTCTAATTAAGTCCCTGAACTTTTAACTTGTTTCAAAATTGAGCGCAAAGTTTTTAAAATTTACATTTTATCCACCACCCCAGTTTTGGGATATTACAACAAGGATTTAACTAAGAAATTATTATATGTCATTTATACAAAATAATTCCAACTTTGTTGGTGACTTTCAACAATGATACTTAGTTCATCTTAGTAGTATTTGTCAACACTGCATTTCTAACCCTATTTTTTCACAAGAATTTCATCGAACATCTATGCTTCACCTCAGATGACATGTATCTAACATTACACCTTGAATTATTGATGGTCCCAATAGTCCCTTGATCGTGTTTTCTCTCAATTGACCCTTATTCAAGTCAACACCTCTACATAATTCAAAGTTAGATTAGAATTTCTCATGCATCCCCGACTGAAAAGTTGCGCTAGAAATGAGAAGAGAGAAGCGAAAAAGGAAATTCGAGATCGAAAATGAATTTGGGGTTTAAAATGGAATTGAGGATTGTATTGCAAGTTTTAAAAGTTGAGAACCTAAATACAAGTGCCTGAAAAGTTCAGTGACCATATTGCAAACGTACTAACGACAGTGTAACTGCGTCAAACGGCCGGTTACGTCGGAGACCATATTGTAAACGGACTAAATATTAGAGGACTGTATTACAAGTTTTAAAAGTTAGAGGACCTAAATGCAAGTGTCAGAAAATTCAGTGACCATTACTATACTTTACCCTTTATTTTTATTTTTAATATTGTGTTCTCTTTCCTCCGTCTCTCTCGGATCATCATCTCATCCATTTTTTCAGTGATTCGGTTTTGTCCTATTTTCATTATTTTCATTTTATTTTTCATCATAAATAAGATCCTTTGAACACAGAGCAAAATAACAAGGAGGAGGAGAGAGCAAAAAAAAAAAAAGAAAAAAGAAAAAGTCTATAAACTCCCCCAAAAAAGAAAGATGATTCCCCTCCTTAAAATCCATTTCTATTAATGCCCTTTTAAACTCCAAGACCCGATTTGTTTTCCTCTAATGATTTGCGTTTCATCGTCGCGGTTTTCTTTTTCAGGCATTTCTCTTAATCCAGGTGAGTTTTTCCCATAGATAATATATAGTCATTTTAATGATTGAAAATAGTTTGCTTTTCAAGATCGTTTTGTTGCTAATTTTATGGTCATTTACTTTATTTTGAATTTACAGGTGGGATCGTGGTCGACCCATGTTGGGTTGTTTGTTAATTTCCTTTTTCAATTTTAATTGGGCGTAATAATTTATTTTGATGCTGTTCTATCCGATGTTACTTTTGTTTTGGCGTTCATCCATAGTTTCTTTTTTCATCTGCTAGCTTGCAGCTAGTTATGGATGTCAATGCATGGAAAGATTGAGAAAGTGGTACTTGAGTTGTAGGCTAGTAGCAATTGCATGCCCTAATTTGTTTCCATTTGGTCATGACTGACGATGCTGTGAATTTGAATACTTGATCTGCACTTAATGTGAATGGGTTGTTATAAAGCTTTGTGATTTTGCACTTGATCGAGTGATTTTGAATATAGTTACAATTGCCTTGATTTTCCACTTGGCCTAGTGACACGAGAGCTGGGGTTCAATCCCCTAGCATACCTTCCTGCATTCCCCAATTATCAATTGTACCCAAAAAATGGAGTAGCTGTGTACTGTTAAACATAAACTTTGTTTCGCACATGCTCCAGTGCATTTTCACGTGTGCGGTTCTTACTCATAGTTTAACCTAGAATCCTGTGTGTAATCTATGTTGCATGTGAGACTGCCAGCAAATATCAGTTCGTATCTTGATCTCTAGTTGACCTGGCATTTTTTAAACTAGAACTGTTGGTATTCATTTTTCTTTGTTTTCTTGATAGACCAATATTCATACCTTAGTTTTGATCTAGTTGAACTATTAGGATATCACGTTGTATGCAATGTAACTTAAAGTTGTTCTTGCCTGCACTTCCTCTCAAAAATCAATATCTGTTGTCTCGTAGTTATTTCTTTTGGGTTCAAGGTGCTTACTGGTTGGGGCTTTCACTTGTGGACATATGTAACCGGTAAATCTAAATAACTCGGCAAGTTATGAAATTATTTTGTATGCTAAGTTTGCACTATAGTTTTTTATTATTATTCTTCTGCATGCATTGGATGGCCTCTCTCCCCCTTTTTTATTGTTCTTGCCTGCACTTCCTCTCAAAAATCAATATCTGTTGTCTCGTAGTTATTTCTTTTGGGTTCAAGGTGCTTACTGGTTGGGGCTTTCACTTGTGGACATATGTAACCGGGTAAATCTAAATAACTCGGCAAGTTATGAAATTATTTTGTATGCTAAGTTTGCACTATAGTTTTTTATTATTATTCTTCTGCATGCATTGGATGGCCTCTCTCCCTCCCTTTTTTATAACTGAAATATGAATGTGGATATCGTGTTTATCTTTTCAGATTTCAACTACAGTCCGAACTTGAGGCCCATTTCATATTTTGACCTGAGAAATGGGAGCTTGAGTGGACATTTGTTTGAAATTGGGAATAATATGTAGCGTCTCTGACATATTTGGAATATATCTTCCCTGATGCAAGGTCAGGGGGGCACCATTGACTCCTTTCCTGAAAGTGTTAACATTGATGAGGGATCTAATCCCAATGACACGAGTATTGGTCAACTGAATTCTTTGCATAACATCCTGTATCCTGTGGAAAATCGGTTAGCCAATTATGCAGTGTCTTCCGCTGGGACAATGCATGGAAACACTACTACTCCCAATGTTCAGAGGTTTAGTGGCTGGAGTTCTAGTGAACCAAGCTCTAGATCGAGAATGCAAAACGAGGTGATGCAGGATGTTCTAAATCACCAGCTCAATGATGATAGAACAAAAATCGAGTGTCATTGGCCTTCTTATGGTGCTCATGTTGTTCCAAGGTCAGAAGAAAGGCGGATTGAACCAGAAAATGCCATTTTTCATGGGATACTGAATAATGGTCGAAGTGGCAATCAGGTCCAGAGTGGACCCATATTTTTGCAAGTTTCAAGCTCTAATCATAGCCCACAAAATGTGAATCTAAATGAAGGGTTTATTAGCAGCAGTAGTAATGGAAGGTCAGGCATGAGAAGTGGTATAGGTCTCAATGTTCACAACTCGGTTGGACTAGAAAGAGAACACATATCTAATGCCAGTGTTTCTTCCGATAACGTTGGTAGTTCATCTGGAAGCTCTAATCATGTGGGGGAGGAAAATATTGATGGTTCTGGTTCATCTTTGGGCAGTTGGGGTTTATCCTGCAAAAGGAAGGTCCTTGAAGGTACTTCTGGACAGTCTTATTCTGCTGATACTTCAAACTCTTTTCAACAAATAGAAAATGCTGCATGGCATGCTGGTCCTTCTCGTAATGATGCTTCTAGCAGTTTGAGTTTATCGACACCCTCTTGGAATTTCCTTAATGTTGGTCCCCCTGGTCAGCCGAATCCAAGAGTTGGGCTTGGTACGAGAGGAGCAATTCGTGATGAATTTACTTCTACTGTAAGAGGAGAAAATGCAGGATACCAACAAGAATCTTTACTTTTACCATATAGTTTATCGTCAACTGCGGTTGCTGGGGATTCCAGTTTTGGATCTCCTGTTCACTCTAGAGCTGCCCCGTTTGGTGACTCTTTAGACTTGAGATCCCCCGGGGCGACAGCTGGAAATTCTAGTTCTGTGCCTACACAACCTCATATTAGGACCACTTCTGTTGTGCCACGAAATGTGAATCCTTTCCCTTGGAATGGTGCTTCCAGTTTAAGAACTGCCAACCCCCCAAGTTCTACTAATTTTGGGGAGAGAGCTGCTGCATTATGGGACGAACCAAACATAAGAAATATCCCAAGAAACAATACAGAACATCCCATGCTTGTACCAGCCACTGAGATGAGAAATGTAGCACAAGAACCAACACATTGGAATTTGGCTTCCAGAAATATTAGCAAGTCTGGAGGTATGCCATCTTTTAGTCAACCTGGGCGTAGTTCAAGTAACCATCCGTTGCCCACTCATGCCTGGATTCCTTCTCGCAGCCCACCATTAAGGCTATCAGATTTTGCTCCGTTGTCTTTATTTCCTCCAATTGATTCTGAACCTGGTGGTCGTAGTGGCCATTTTCCATCATTGTCTTCAGGCCCTTCTGCTTCCTCACAAGATACTGTTGTGCCATCTGGATCAAACATTCTAGGTAACAATCAACCTTATCCTAGGTCGGCAATCATATTGGAGAGACATGATGATGATGTCCTTGGGATGCCCCACTCATTGCGAGCTTTGGCTGCTGACATCGAAGGGAGACACCAGCTAATATCTGACGTTTGTTTCTGAAGGTCTTTTTCTATATTTTAACTTCGTTATCTCTGTACATTTATTTCTCGGGCTTCCTGAATAAGGTTTGCTTTCATGTAACAGTAACAAATTTGGCTTTCCAGATAATGGATGTAACTAGTAGTGTTTATATGCATATAAACTTAATCCACAGCATGCATTCACACGTATGGTTTATCTACTTGTACTGACAAACTCAAAACCATAAATTTAATTCTTGGAAGATTAGTTGATTTCTAAATTGTTAATAATATTGTTTGTGTTTTTGGCATTTCATATTTAATGGTCTTCACAAATTCATTTTGAGTAGGATATTTGTAAGTACCTTTATTTATCCATATATGTTATATTGAACCGTTTTCTTTCTATTTTTCGTATTTGACATTCTCCCCGGATTATCAGTTTGTAGGTGTTCGTTTTATCTAAAACTTTGATCCACCTCATCACAAATCGTAAGCTTATTTTGTGATAAGACTTTGTGCCCTTGTCATTTCATACTGGGTATCATGGCAACTTTCAGAATTAATCAATGCAGTTAACATGTAATGTGCTATCACTGCTTAATATTTAATTAAGTTATGAGGGTGTCTCAATAAAGCTTGTTAATTTGTCACGTTTCAGAAAATAATGCCTACTACAGAAGCCGACTGATTAAATTTTGAGATAAAAGATATGCACCAGTAAATTATTCCCCTATAATGGCAATTGAACATAAGAAATTATTCTAATTCCTTACTGCTCATTTTCTTCTCCATGTATCAGATACGCCAAGTCTTGAATGCCATGCGCAGAGGGGAGAACTTACGAATTGAGGTTTGGTTTTTGATTCATGAAATGTTTATGTTTAAGCATAGATTTTATCCCCTTTAGCTACATTGACTATAATGATTTTAGAGTTTCACCAATAGGTTGTATGGTTTCTTTGCAATTCATATCCTTTCCCATAAATTGACTTTTCCTTGTACCACGTCCTCTCAAATACAACACTGCCGTAGGAGCTGTTCAATAACTTATGATTTTTGTGAAAAATTATATTGTTTCCGCACATCAGCACAAATATCTCCAATTACTACAGAGAAACATTTGCACCAATGCCATCTAACTGCTCGAAGCTACTAAGTTTCCAATCCTGTCCTAGGAAATACATTAATTATTATTCTTTATTGGCGTTATTTCATTAGTTGGGATGATGCAGTATTCTAGAGTAGATTCTCATTATCGAGAACAGTTTCTCCTTATGTTACTAGCTTAGTCTTGAATAATCTGTCAGATGGTTTTTAAAAAGAATATTATCGGATAATTTGGTGCATGGAAAGTTTGTTCTGTAGATCAGTAACTAGATTGCATCCACTCTGTTGGACACGCTATTGATGTGGTTTTTTATGTTCACATTGCATACATTTCTGAATTCTTTGTTAACAGGTTCCCACGAATTGAGAGATAAAGAGCTCTATTAGTGGAGCGCCCGTGTAGAAAGCATAGAAAGTTACTCTGTTGTCTGAAAATAATTTGTTTGTCTTTGTGTGATACCCTTTCAGGATTATATATGATGTTCGATCCGTTCATATATCATGGTATGGCCGAAACATATGACAGACATAGAGACATGCGCCTCGATGTTGATAACATGTCTTATGAGGTAAAAAGGGATTGCTGTATTTTCGTTCAATCACTTCACATTGGAGGCTATTCTTCTCACATTGCTAATGGAACACTAGGAATTGTTGGCATTAGAAGAACGCATCGGAGATGTTAGCACCGGACTAAACGAGGAAACCATTCTGAAGTTGATGAAACAGAAAAGGCATTCATCCACCACGACACAATCCACCCAAGAATTGGAACCATGTTGTATCTGTCAGGTACAAAACTAGACGACAGTAGAAATTCGTTCATCATAGCTGTTAAATTTAAAGTCTCGTTTAACTTGTCCGAACTTCAACAATGGCAGGAAGAATACGCAGATGGGGATACCGGGATACTAGATTGTGGACATGACTTCCACACAAACTGCATCAAACAGTGGTTAATGCTAAAAAACCTGTGCCCCGTTTGTAAGACAACAGGCCTCTGCTCAAATAAAGAGCAAAGGCTGTTGTCGGATCCAATAATAGGGTTGGATTATATATATATCTGATTCGAACCGGCTTTTCTTACTCTTGAACTGCAACTTTCATTCGACGGAGCTAGTGTTAATGTAATGAATTGCGGGATTAGTTTGTTGAATAACTTGCATCATGAAGATGATGAAACATATTTGAAATAATATGGTGTTTTAGTGGCATTATCAAGCTTTAAGAATATCAAAATCTTTGCAAGAACTTGTGTATGTGCTGGTATATTGTACATAAGATAGGTTTGAACTTGATTAGTTACCACTTGATGTTTTCATTAGATTATGTATATATAAAATGAAGAGGGGTTCATCATGGGTTGTGGGACCATCTTGTTAGAACGCGGTTCAAGATATATATCTTGTCAAAACCATTTTTTATAAATAAATTAATTTAAAATAATTATGATTTTATTATGGAAAATGTAGATTTTTGTTTAATTTATAATTTAAAATTTAAAATTGATTTAAGAGTTGTCATTGATTTTTAGATTAGGTATGTCGAATACCTAAACATATTTTTTAAAACAATTTTTAAAAAAATCATTTTTAAGATAAAATTTTTCTTTTGAAATTATTTTAAAAAAAATTATTTTTTAAGACAAAAATTAATCTACATATTACTATAAATTCGTTTTGAGGATTCAAAAATCAATTACGAATGAGAAAAGATAAACACTCGCACAATACCCAAATTAGTACCCTCGATTATACGTTATTTAAATGATGAAATTTTACATACTTGAACTCAAAATTTAAGTTACCATCCTCTTAATTTCTATAAATTTTAAAAAGAATAAATTTATTTATAAAATAGTTGATTCTATAAAAGTGATTTGATTCACTCAATTTTATTTAAAAGGATGTTCCATTACTACATGAACGAAAATTAAAATTTAGTTATATTGGACTTAATTTTGTTAACCTACGAACCAATAACAACATTGAATTTGAAAGCGAAATAACAAATGCATGATGTAATAACCAATTTTCGTCGACCTTTTTTATTATTTTATTATTATTAATATTATTAATGCATTTATATTTATACTTTTGTAGGCCCAACAAATCACAATCATGAGCCCAAAACCAAACCCTAGCCAAACCAACACCTAAAGATTCCATGTTCCTGCCGCCGCCGCCGATGGAGTTGCGCCGCCGCCACTGTCAACCGAAGCAGTCGCCGCAGAGCCGATTCCAACGTCGTTCCACCATCATCACCTCAACAACACAGTGAAAGAGAGAAGATAACAAATCAATCAAAACCAAAAAAAATAAAAATCAACCAAACCAATCCCGGGAAACTCGGGACCGAATTTTCCGGAGCCATAGCCATCATCCCTACGACCTAGCCTCACCAAACCAAACATTGATTTAAGAGAAGCAACAACCAAAACAAAAAGGGAGGGAGAACAACGAAACAAAAAAAATCGAAAAAGAAAGGAAAGAAGAAAACTTACCCATCTTCTTAAAGACCACCTTCGATATCCTTCCATTGAGGGCTCAACCGGCGTTTTCAACAACTGAAAGGACGAGAAATCACAAGGTTTCGTTTGGGTTCATTTTGACGATCACCAATGCCGATCACGGCGGTGGCCATGAGCTTTACATGGCCTTCTCTCGTGAGAAGAGATGAGAGGAAGAGAGAATAGACAGGAGAGAGGCGACACGTAAAAAATATGGGGAAAGAACATTATGTTTTAGGATTTCTGAACCCTAAAATATAATTTTAAATCTACTCCCAAACGCGGTCGTTTAGGGGAAGGAGTGCTGCAAGCCAATTTTTAGGATAATCGCATGAGAAGCCATGCAATATTTGTAACATTCGTTTTTAGTCACTAAATGGAATGGTTAATGCCCTGATTCCAAGCTTTGTTTTTAGCTGAAATTATATTTTAGTCACCATATTTTACGTTTTGGAGTAGTAAAGTTTATATTTATTTAAATTTTGTCACTGTTCTTAGTTTAATGCTTGTCTTATTTTATGAATCAATATCCCAATGACCCCCTGTAACTTTTATTTATTCTGATTTAGTCCTCTTTTCTTGTTACATGTTCAAAGTTGTCTTATTTATACTTTAAGTCAATTTAATCCTATTTGTTTGGCCTTCCAGTTTTCGTTTTGTTTGTTTTCAAATTAATGTATCTTATTTTAATTTTATTTTAATTTAGTACAATTTTTTAATTGTTCACGTTTATGCCTTGTTTATTTTTGTTCATTTGATCCATTAGCATGTTGTTTATTTATTTTTCATTTACTTGCACATTTATCCTTTATTTTTCATTATTTATATTTAGTCATCCATGCTTATTATACATTAAAATATGTGATTTATGCTTTAGATCCTTTTAGGCCTGCTATGTATTCATTTGGTCACTTTGAAAATCATGCTTGTAATATTTCAAGTTTTGAAATGATATCGATTTGGTCCATTGACCAGTTTAAATGCCTTTTAATTTATTTCGATTTTGCTTGTTTATTTTTTATTTCGTCCAAGTACATGTTGGTTTATTATTATTATTTTTACTTAACATTTTTATTTTAGTGGATTAATTTACTTTTCTTTCAATTAACTCTTTCATATATTTGATTTAAATTAAGAGCTTTATTTAGTTTTATTTACTGAATCCGTAATTTTGCCATTGTTAACTTTCAGCTTTAGTATTTAGTTTTAGATTTCGCTGTTTATTCACCTTGATCACTACATCATATGTTTATTTTATGCGTATATATAAATGTTGCCCCATAGTGATACATGTACATATATTTTTATTAAGGGCGACCATCTTTTTTAATTTTACTTTATTACATACATGTTTTATCTTTATTAAAACGTCATTTTAATATTATAGTATCTATAAAAGTTTGGTTGTTCAATTAACCTATGGGAGACCTCTAAAAATATGAGTGTCTTTTCTAGGGTTATTCAAATAAAATATTTTTTAATATTAGTTGTTTCTTATTAAGTAAATTAGATATATATTATTCATTTAAATAAATGTTTTGTATGATTACTTGTTTTTGTACAACGAAATTATTTAATAAATAAATATTTTTTATTTAATTATATGTATTTATTTATTTATTTATCATTGGTTATCTTATTTATTTATCTTTGCTTAATCTTATCTATTTATTGTGTTGATATTTCATCTATTCCATATATGTCATTTATTAATGTTACATTCATAAATCGTCGCTATTCGTTTTTCTCGTTTTCTAAATTAATTAAAGGCAATGTTGCATTGTGCCGTAAGTTAACAAAATTACGTCCAACATGACTGGATTTCAATTTCTGTTAATTTACGTAATAAGGAGACATCCTTCTTAAATAAAATCGAATGGATTAATTCATGTTCATCAAGTCAAATGCTTTAAAATAGATTTACTCATTCTTCAAAATTTGTCGAAATAAAAGGATTGTAATTTAAATTTTGAATTCAAATTTGTAAAATTCTACTACTTCGACAATGTATAATCGAGGTACCGATTTTGGGCGTTATGGGGTGCTAATCATTTCCCATGCATAATAGACTTTTGGATCCTGAAAAATGAATTTTTGGTGACACTCAGACCAATTTTTGTCTTTTAAGTGATTTTTCTTAAAATTATTTTAAAAGACATTTTTAGGTATTCAACATAGCTAACTCAAATGTCGATGGAGACTCCAAATTTCAAATCAAACAAAAATCCAAATTTTCCAAAATAAAGTCATAATTATTTTAAATTTAATTTTTAATTAAAAATGGTTATGACACATGATTTATGAATGCAACAGAAATAAAATGATATATATAAAAATATGTGAAATATTAATCATGACAAATAAATAAAACTAAACAGAGATAAATAAATAAAATAAAATAATTAAACAATGATAAATAAACAGATATATAAAATAAGTAAAAATAAACATCTATATTTATTAAAACAATTATTTGAAAATAATATATCTAATTATATATATATATATATAAAGATAATATTTAGTAAAGAATTATTTAAAATGAAAAAAATACATATTTAATTAAAGCAACAAATAATAATGTTAAAGTATTTTATTAGAATAGCCCTCGGAAGGGCATCCCAGGTGTTTGGGGGTCTTCTATAGATTAATCGAATAATTAACAAATAATCTCAAAAACATTATAATAGTGATAATAATAAATTTTAAAATGTATAACAGTATTTTAAAAACAATCTCTTAAAAAATACGTACACACATAAACTTTAAAAGATAAAATAGACCTATGTATCATATATTTAATATATTACATATTTATAAATAAATATTTTAAAATACTATAAAAAAATTACCATATTATTAGATTATAATTACATTGAAGTATAAAAGAAAGGTATTCATATATATTAATAATAATAATAATAATAATATTATTATTATTATTATTATTATTATTAAAGGGAATAAATCGAAACAACAACAAAATGTAGGATACTAACGGAATATTTAATCTTAATATTTCATTAAATAACTAACATGAAGCCTAAAATGCAGCCTCAAGATTCGAAATCAACAATATTCCATGTCATTCTGGACTAAAACAGATGAGTAACCAAAACTGTAATTTTCCCTTAAAAGTTCAAAACACGAGTTAAGGGAGTGTGAAACTACGTCGTTTTAAGTTTGATATATAACCCTAAAATGAAGCCTTATTTTCTAAAGTTTTCTCATTTTTCATTTGTTTCAAAGGAAGAGAGAAAGATAGTTCATAAACTTTATTGAGTTCCCTTCGTCGGAGGAGACTGTCGCCGTTCGCTGGTGGCATCCACCACCATCCACGGTGGTTGGAATGGTTTCAAATACCCCCAAAATTCTTTTCTCCTCTTCCTTAGCCCGAATCTGAGCCCCTTTTGTCAAAATCCCAGCCCAAACGCTTAAATCTACCATAATACCTTTCGAAACTCTAAAAAAAATTGACGACTTTTCAGCTTCCACCGAGCTCGGTACTTCTCCGATGACTAGTGAGTAAGTTCCGTTTTCCCTTTTGCTTCTCTTTTTTTATATATATTTCGAATGATTCTTTTTTCGAGTTCTCCCTCTCTATTTCCAAATATGGTTTCTTTTTCTAGTTCGAATCCTTAATTTAGTTAACTGGTGAAATTGGATATATATATATATATATATATATATATATACACGTTGACAGTTTATAAATTATTATAGTTAATTGTGAGTTATTAATAAAAATGTATAATAATTATATTTTTAAATAAATTTTAAAATAATACATTTGTTTATGGAATGTGTGGTTTAATTAGAGGTGGGTATATGGGTTAAGGCCTACGGCTACCCGTTTAACTCGCTGCTCGTACAAGTTTTAGACATCAAAAATTGAAATTCGTTTAAATTGTGGATTTTTTTTAGCTTAGATTGATAAACTCGCGGGTTTAATGAGTTTAATCGCGGATAGCCCGCGAAGCCCTTAATAGTCTGCTTAATTTAAAATTTATAAAATTTTAGAAAAAATAAACTTAAAGAATTTTATAGAAAAAAAAAATTAATTACTTATAAATATGATGTTACTTATAATCATTGTAGTTCTTAAATTTATTAGGGTATTTATTATAATTCTACCGTTGTTTGATTTTTTTTTTCATTTGCAATGTATTAAATTATTCTTCATTTTAAAAAATAAAAGTTAAAAGATTTATATATTATTTTAGTCTTATAAAATTTACATCATTTATCACTTTGGTATTTAAAGATTTTTTTATTTAATTTTGATATTTATTTTTTTCATGAAGTATATTATCCATTTCGTTCTTTAATTATAAAAAGTCACGTGATATTATAATAATATATCACATAACACGTAATATTTGGATTAAAAAAAAAAAAAAAAGTAAAATAAAAAATTAAAAACATACTTTTCAACTTTTAAAAGCTTTTATAAAAGAAAATTTGTTATAATGTTTGACTTTATTGAATTTTTGTGTTTGAATTTTTGCTTGCAAATATTTTTGTCTCTTCATATTATAGCTTTGAGTAATCGTGTTTTATAAAAGTATAATGTGTTTATTGTTTTATTTTTTTTTGATTTGGTGATATAAGTGAATATTATTTTTTTTAATTTGAGTTTAAGTAATTATATCGTTATATATATATTAATGATTAAAAAATTTTAAAAAATATTATTTTATAATCATTTTCGGTTATTTAAAATAAAATTTAAATATATTATTTATTATTTTGACGGTGTTACATTCCTTTTCAAGTTACTGGATCATTTTTAAAGATGTAGCAAGTTAGAACATTATTGTTTATTACATTTGAAGCATTTAAAATTATTTTTATTTAACGGGTCGCGGGTAAGCCCGTTTAACCTGCGGGTTAAACGAACGGGCAGCGGGCCTTAAAATTCAAAACCGTTTATGATTGCGGACTTTTTAAACCGTTCCGTTTAAGCCCGCACCATCAAAACTCGCGGACTAAACGGGTGGGTAGCCCGTATACCCACCTCTAAGTTTAATAGGATCAAGTGAAAACATATATCATGTGGGTGCACTACAGACAATATTTTTAAAATAAATTTAGCTTATAAATAGATAAATTATGTGAATAGTATTATTTATTTTCGATTTGATCGATTTTGTCTATTAATTTAAAAATTAACGGCGTCATTTATAAAAACTGTGGTGACTTGAAATTTGCCATTGCCGTGTTTAATGAACTCACCTAGAGTATCACTAAAGTAGGATGGTCCATTTTGAAATGCCCATTTGGCGTAGTTGAAGTCGAAGTGTCAATTGTTTGACCAGCCAACGTTGATGGTGTTGGGTCCTTCAGTTTGATTAGGGGATGATAAGATCCCCAGCCCTAGTTAGTGTTGTTAAACCCAGAGCCGCAGTCCCTGTTAACCATGCTTATTCATCACAAGCTTCGTATTATTATCGCCGGTACTAGTCTTGTAGAACCTGCAAAATCCATGTTTTGAAACAAATGGAAAAAGAGGAGAATAAGAATAAGAAGAAAAAAAGAAACCCATGTTTTGAAACTGATGGAAAATGATAAGAAGTAAAACCCAAGTTTTGAAACTGAGATGAAGAAGATACAACACGTGGATTTACGTGACAATTAACGGTTGAGGGACTAAATCCAACGGATCTATAACATCAGGATTATATACCCTTAATTTTTAAATTAGTGATCAAATTCGATCAAATAAAAAACAAAGGAGAATATTCGTGTAGTTTACCCTTTATAAATTTGATGGATGCCTACTTTTTCTTTATAGATTTTGGGCCTTTAATATGCCTTGTGGGTTTTAATTGTCGGTGACCAAATGGGCCACATACCACATACCAATACCATCCGATTGAAAATACCAATGCGCATATTTTTAATAAAAATATATAGACATGTAAATAAATATACATCAATTGCATAAACAGCTTTATATGAAAATATACATTTTTAAAAGATTAATCAGAATTAATGTTTTAATTCAGTTATTATATTCTATTTTTAAACATAAGTAAAATAAAATTTAAAAACGATTTTAAATACCAAATTTTGTTTCAAGTCAACATGGATGGGTACATTTTCTGAAAATTTAACAAGATAAAACAATAATTTTCTCAAAAAAAAACTGTTGGTCCACGCACGTAATATTCACCATGAACTAGCGGTGAGAAGAATGGTAATGAAAGATGCTAGAACTTGTCGAAAACAGACGTAATATTGGTTACAGGTGCCACTTGCGAATAAATTAGGCCAATTTGCAAAAGGAAGCATTTCGGATCCAAACAACAACAAGCATACCAGAGACTTGGTTCATTCAACTTCGTATAGCTAGCCTGCCAAACTAGAACGCCGTCCCTTACACTCTGCTACTAAGCTTTTGGAATATATATATATATATATATGGGGGCTGCTAATTCTTTTTTGGAAATAAGCATAGACGTCAGATATGGATAGATACCCGGGCCAAAAGTCTGAGACCACATACAGTTTATAAGAAAACGAAACTTGTAATTATAATTATCGATTCGACGGAACAAATTGATTACATATCAAATTAATTTAAATCAATTCATATTAAATTAAAAAAATATAAGTAACACGAATCAAATGATTTCGGTGGTTAAAGAATGTGTTATTAAGGTTTAAGATTCAAGTATTGTGTATGAAAAAATATGTCTTCATTATCAAATAATCGAGTCTTTGAACGGATCATAATATATTGTATTCATCTAATGTGAGTAATTTGATTGACATTTATAAGTTAAAGTATTTGTGTGATTTATCTACGGATTGATATAATATTTTTATACTTTTTCTTAGTAGTTTGCAGTTACAATAATATATAAAGACTTGTATAGGCTTTGATGGCAGTTTGCAATTACAATAATATATACAAATATGGTAGAGCTGTCATGCCACCCATATAATTATTGTTAATTGTGTGAGAGAAATATTATAAAAATCTTAAAAAAAATTAATTTATCAATAATATTAGAGTAATAAGATATATAGAATTTAGACATCATTAAACCAACGTTTTACACATGATCAACTCAATGGGCTCCCGCAGGCAAAGAACACTGAAACTATATTATTCTTCTATATATATTTACTATTTTAAAACAAAGACTGAGGGGCTGTTTGTTTGGCTCTGAATGGAATCATTCAACGCTGAATATTGATCCATTCAGCGCTAAATGCTGAACCGTTCAGCATTCAGTGCGTTTGTTTCTTACCTTTGAATGATTCAGTGCTGACTAATTCAGCAAAACAGTTCTGAATATTATCAAACAGCATGTCACATTCAGAGCTTATTCATGCGGAGCCTCTGAATCATTCAGTATTTGAATAATTAAGCGCTTAATCATTCTGAAGTAAACAAACAGTCCCTGAGTTAAGTCTGGGAGTGGGTAAATTGGAGATGGATCCAAGCAGTGGATAGCGTAGAGTATTAATTAACAACCGGAAAGCTTATTTTACGTGGAGGAGAAGGACAGACAAACTCCCCAAAGTAACGTAGCTTGAATGTTTGCGTTGGCCATTTTAGGAATATTCCTTAACTTGTAATCCTTTTGACGGCCGCGTTTTGTGGAGCAAAAAAAGAAATAAAGAAGAAAGTAATGGCTAAGATTATACAGGTTGATGACACACAATGTGACTTTTTTTAATACCTTATTCTTTTTCTTTCAAGTGTTACAAACCAATGAAACAACCCATTTCTTGCTTGGTCTTCTGTTTGAATTTTGAAATAACTTGCAAGTAATTTCCTCTTTATCATAAGGAGGTTGTATTCATCTGAATTTTCAAATCCAATCCTGGAGGTGATTAATTTGAATAGAGGGGATTCTAGCTTGTCTCCTATGTCTCCCAAGGCACGCAAAAGGTAGTGCCCGAAATAAGGCTATTATTATTGTGAGGATGATCACCGTGATTATGATCCATTGATCGTGCCAACATGTGCATTAAAAGCATTAAACCACATGGGGATATGGGGTCGAATCATAATACACTTAGCCGTGAACCACATCTTCCTTAACAGCTACCGGTTTACCTTTCCAAAAACAAAAACCACCGCCATGGCTGCCTGCTGTCTCTTCGCTGTGTTCACACGGCTAATTGTTATATAAAAGATTCATATCTAAACACACAATTGTTTGTTTCGGAAATGATTTTATATATAAAGAATGAACCAATGAATTGGCAGCGTCTGACTACAAAGATCAGTTCATCAACAATGAACAAATTCACTGTACATGACAAATTCATCCAAAATACAAATCCCAGAAAGAAAAAAAAATTAAATCAAGACAAATCAATTTGATTCTTTTTTGGCTATGGAGAAACGTGGTTTCTTTGTCGGCAATGGACTTTCGACCTCCTCTTCTCCGTATATTTGACTGAATCTTCCTTCCCTGTTTTCTCCGCAGAACTCGGGTAAAGCGGGTAAGTTTAGGTCAAAGTCAAAGTCGGGTACATGGTGGCTTTGGCTCAGCGCGCCGCCGTCTGATGACGTCACCCCACTGATGCTGACGCTAGCGCTACCTGTCTTGTTATTGTTGTTGCCTCCGTCGTAGTGGCAGCGTTTGTGGCCTCCCAAGGCTTGGCCTGTAGGGAAACTCTTGTGGCAGATGGAGCACTCGTGAGACCTACCGCTACCGTTAGTCCAGCTGGTGGTCGTTGCTGTTGATGGATTATCAACGTTGGTGGTGGTAGCAGCCGCATCGGCGGAGGGTTTGCGGTGGCTGGCTTTATGCCCACCCAGAGCTTGATAAGAATTGAAAGCCCTGTTGCAAACGCTGCAATTGTAAGACAACTTCAAAGTCGTCGTCGTCGGCGGCGGCGGTGATGATGAAGAGGAAGGATGAAGACGATCACGATCACCGGCAGAGCGGCCGCGAGCGAGCATGATGAGACAGAGAGCGAGGTACTCTTCTTCGGCTGTGGGTTGGATTTCAGCAGCATCAACGTCGGCAGGAGACTCGCTGCGTTGGCGTTTAGAACGTTTGCCCTTCTTCCAGGACTCGATGTAGTTGTTGTCGACGTCGTCGTATTTGTTGGTGAAAGGGGCATCCATGGTAGGAGAATTGAGAGCTTCGAGAGCCATGTATGTATTGGGTAATTGTGGGAGAGTAGGTGAAAATGGTGGGGAGGTATTTATATATAGAGGAGAGGTGATAGCTAACAAGTGAAATGGGTCAACCACGAGGAATGGTGTACCCTTTAGATTCTTCCAGACCTTTTATATGACCGCTTCTAGGGGTGTAAATGAGTCTAGCCGAGTATTGCCGAGCTCGATTTAAAAATTCTAAAATAGAGCTCGACTCGAAAACTCGCGAGTTTAAAATTTTCAAGCTCGACTCGAACTCGAAATCCTGAACTGAAGCTCGTGAGCAGCTCGAAAAGGCTCGAAATGAAAAAAAAAATTCTTAAACTTAACTCGATTAAAGCTTCAAACTCAAACTCGAACATGAACCTTAAATACATAAAAATCTTATTGTATTTAAAAAAAATCAATACATAAATATTAATATTATTAATAATTTATTTTCTAAAAAATAAAATCTTAATATATTATATTTTCGAGTTAATCACGAGCTTTTCGAGTCGAATATCGAGTAGCTCGTTTCGACTCGTTAAGAACTCGAGTCGAGCTCGAGCTCGAGTCGAATTCATTCGATCCGAGTATTTATCGAGCCTTAATCGAGTCGTCTCGAATAGCTCACGATCTATCTCGTCTCACTTACAAGCCTAACCGCTTCCAAGTCAATCCTTCGTATTTAACCATTTACAACTGGTACACCAAGCCACTTTAGCTTTGTGCTCTTAATGCGTGTTCACCACGACTCCTTTGGTCAAAATCTCATCCAATTTTGACCTACAACTAAAACTCTATTTCTTCTTAATTTATCAACTCTGTTTTATTCTTTCATAATATTCAAATGGTTTTACATTTTATATCACTAAATCTACCTCATAATAAATTATTTCTTCTTATTTTATATTTATGTCGAAATTACAACATCAAAATATGTAACTATTGATTTTGTGGTGACAGTTAAACTAATTTTACATTTTTCATACGCAGTAAAATTAAATAAATTCCAAAAGATGGGATACTTTTTGTAACTTTTAAACTGTTTGCATTGTCAGTGAAGAAAATCGCTTTTGCCGCAGCATATGCTCTTTCTTTCGGTATTAAAAAAAATATAAAATAAAAACAAAAAATAGTTTCCAATTCCACCATTATTTCTCAATGATTGAAGGGTTACTGCAATTACTGGCCAAACAAAGAAGTTGTTGGAAAAATCAAAAAATATAAAGAAAAATCAGTTCTGGTGACGTGTTGAAACGTAACTGGTCGAGGGAAACATCGGGTATCTTTTTTTTTCATGAAAATGTGCTAATTTTGGTAGTTCATCGCTGGTTGCCTCTAGAAAGATAGAAGGACAGCTAATTCCCGAGAAACGTCCATTATTGGTCACGTTTGCAACTGGTACAGTGGCATTACCACTGTTACCCCTTTTGGATTTTCAGTTTAATCACAAATAATCAATAAATTCCTAATCTCTAAAACAAACTTTATAAGTGTTAAAAGGAAAAAAAAGAGTTTATGATAATTTTAAATAATTTATTCATTCTGATTTTGAATAGAGAATTATGATCCATAGTTTTATAAATGAGGTAAAGAATAGATAAGCTTAACAAATGTGACAAATCGTTTGAAACAAGTTTTTTTTAATTCTATATAATAATTTATATATTATCTCTTAGTATTGATGTTAGGTCTCGAATAGTAAGTGTTAGTTCTAGGCTAACAAAATAAATTGATATAATGGTTGTCCATCTTTCCCATATGTATGGGATAAGGGAGAGATAAGATAGTAGGCTACCCCCAACACCAGATTGAGAGCAGCTTCCGTAAGAGACCTCCAAATTATGAAATGCCCTCCGTGGGACTCGATCCCACAACCTCAAGGTTAAGAACCTTGTGCTCTACCAACTGAGCTGGATGGTCATTTCAAAATAAATAAATTGATATAGTGTTTGATAATATATTTAACTCTAACAAATTATATGAGACTGAAAATAATAATGTCAAGAGACTCTAGTAATTAGGAAGATATAAAAATTTAAATACTTCTAAAAAATTTGAGGACTTCAATAAACGGAATAGTTACAGCGGAGATATGATTAATGAAGATGGAAGGTTTGATTTGTTAAAGATGAAAGTATAGAGGGTATTTACGTAAAATCACAGCGGAGTGGAACTCTAAGTAGGAAGAGTGCAGTAGTAGAAGAGAGTGGGGGAAACAGTAGCTTAAACAGAACGCGGAACCGACAAGCAATACGGCACGCAACTCGCTTTGATTTGGGGGGAGACTTACACGTGGCACGCTTTCGGGTTCCTTTTCGAACAACTTTCATGTGTTGAATACTACGTATCATCGCATCACTTAACCGACTGCTAATCAATCCTTCGTTGTGAATAGAAAGATCCCCAGCATCGTAGACGTCCATTTATTTTGGGGAATCCGCCATGGGGCCACGTGGCTCTCGTCTACGAACACGTGGCATCTCCATCCACCCGACACTCAACTAATAGAAGGTGGACGATTCTAGTGGCCGTGAAGTGTGTTGGTAGTGGTTTTAGGTTAACGTACGAGTTTGTCCGTGATTCGGACACGTGGCATGATGATACTTATAAAAAAAAAAGAAGCTTAATTGCACCTTTTTAACTATAATAAAATGCCTCCCATGATGCTTTTAGGACCGATCTGGAAACAAAGTATTTGAGTTTCAAACGTTAGGATGTGCTGTTGGAAAAGTCCATCATAATTTGGTCTTATCAAAGGTTAATGTTTACAAATAAGATTAGTTACGAAAACAGATTTAATAAAATATGATATTTCCTTAATGTTAATGTAACTGATAAATATCTATAATATAAGATATTTCCACGTAGACATGTCGTAGTTGCAATGGGATTTACGGCCAATTGGATGAGCATAAAACAATAGGCAAAAACAAAACGAAACTACGGCCGACACGTAACTGAACAGTTGGTACCTCTTATAATCTTGAGTTACGCCAGCTGTGGCGTCAAACTAGCAGTATTAAGGCATTGCTATTGTGGACCGTAAAAACCCTTGTTCAAATAATATGGGACGATTATAGGTAGTATATTAAAAAATAATTTTATATATCTTATAGACGTAATTGTTTAATTATATGATTTTTATAAGAAAAAATATTTTTTTATCATTGAAGTAACTGGATTAATTATGAATCACAAAACCCTAAATTTATCGATTGATTCATGTTTGTTTATTTTAAAAAAATTTAAAAAAATAATATTATTAGTCTTTTTAATAATAAAAAGTTAATTTAAATTAGATTGAATTAATTTAAAATATCGTATTATTTAAATTACTGGAGTCCAGGGACGGAGCTCCCTTAGGGCCTAAGGGGGCCTCAGCTCTCGTTAAAATTTATATATTCGATATAATTTTAGTTTAATAATATTTTGGTTCATGTAAAAATATATAAATTTTAAAAATATATAAATTTTAAAAATATAAAAAAATATAAAATATTTAATCAAGTAGAGGTTGAACTAAAGAATGATAAGTATGCATTCTCAAATTTTTTGGTCTAATTATAATTTAAGTCATTGTAAGTTTAAATATTAGACAAATTAGAATTTGTCTTCTGAGTTTTGAGTTTATTTTTAAATTTAGTGTGAATACAAAGTAATATATGTACAAAGACTTTCAACTATTTGACAATAAATGCTTATACATCTACATATGTGTTTGAATTGTGAACCTCAAAGATACTAACAGTCCCTTAATCACTAAGGTCATTTGGTTCATACTGAATTTTGAATTTAAATACCTAACAAGTCGGCAAAACTTTCGAGATAATGTTCTGAAAGAAATTAATTCACGAGCTAATGCACTCCCAAGATTAATTGCTCAAATAGGGTGAAATCCACAATGTTGGTCGTAGGTCGCCATGCACTCCGGGCGACATTGTAGGTCGCCATGCACTCCGGGCGACCTACCCTTGCTCAAACAGAGAGAATGAACGTGTTGCATGGCACATGCACGTCCCAACACATAGGTCGCCATGCCCTCCGGGCGACCTTGTAGGTCGCTATGCACTCCGGGCGACCTACCCTCTCGGCTTCCCTCGGATTCCCTCGCATAGCTCGCTCGGTTGCCCTCGGATGCCCTCGCATAGCTCGTTCGGATGGCCTCGGTCGGATGGCCTCGGATGCTCTCGGATGGCCTCGGTCGGATGGCCTCGGATGCCCAGCGTGTTGGGACGTGCATGGCACATGCAATCTCTTGTAGCTCGCCGGGAAGACATGGCGACCTAGTAGGTCGCCCGGAAGGCATGGCGACCTACGGCCAACACTGTGGATTTCACCTTATTTGAGCAATTAATCTTGGGAGTGCTTTATCTCGTGAATTAATTTTTTCCATAACATTATCTCGAAAGTTTTGCCTAACAAGTCTTTATATTTTTTTAATAATCTAATATTTTTGCCCCTGTCAATATTTGATTCCGGCACTATCCCTGCTCGAGTTATGAATAAATTTACACATAATAAAAGTAAAAGGGTGGAGAATGTGGTAAAAGTAAAAAGTGACACTACAGCAAAACAAACTTTTTACGGCGTTTTTTTACCTTTAGCGGCGTTTATAAACGCCGCTAAAAACACATGCGGCGTTAAGACAAAAGCCGCAAAAACCATCGTTGAAAATAGCGCCACTAAAGTTTGTGGCGTTTTTTCACAAAAAGCGCCGCAATAGTTATTGATATTTAGCGGCGTTTGTGTGAAAAACGTCGCAATAGGTGTTGATATTTAGTGGGGTTTGTTATAAAAACGCCGCAATAGGTGTTGATATTTAGCGGCGTTTGTAATAAAAATACCGCAATATGTGTTGATATTTAGTAGCATTTTTCAACAAACACCGCAATAAGTGTTGATATTTAGTGGCCTTTTTTTTTTTTATAAAAACGCCGCAATAGGTGTTGATATTTAGCGGCGTTTATCATAAAAATGCCGCAATATGTGTTAATATTTAGCAGCGTTTCTCAGATAAACGCCGCAATATG